TTTTTATTATAAATTATAATCTAAAACTTCATACAACAGCTGTTGTGGGTTCCAATTCATTTCACCGAAAATCAGTTCACTGACAGTATGATTCACTTCAATCAAGTCACCGACAAGTTCATTTCACTGACAATATGATTCACCGACTGTACATTTTACTGACAAGCTTTTTTTTTATAATTACATTAATATTAACTCTAATTCTAACTTAATCCTAATGGTGATGATCAGAATTATCTTGTCAGTAAATCATATTGTTGATAAATGAACTTGATGGTGAATTGATTGTCAGTAAATCATATTGTCAGTAAACTAATTGTTGATAAAATGAACAGAACTCATCTTGCATCTGGGGTTGGATTTTTTTCTTCTCTTGTCTAATTTGTTTTATTTTTATTATTATTTTTTTTAATTTTTCTTCTGTTTTCTTTATTTCTGTTATTTTTATATTCTTCAATATCTAAGTTTTTACTAATATTATTTGCATTTATATATACTCAAATAGACTAACATTTATTTGCAGTAAGGTCTATACCTTCTTATTGAACAAAAACCAAAATTATTACTTACAAAGTTTTTTTTATATACTAATTTTTTATTAAGTTCTTATATTACTACTAGTTCTTAGAGTTAATTATAAACTTTAATTTCTTTTATGCTAAAACTTTACTATTAATATGCTGTAAGTTTCAAAATATTGTTTTGATATATAAATTTAAAGTTATAAAAAGTTTAAAAAATTTCAAAAAAAATATTTTTTCTATAATATTTTTTTTATCTTATTTTTTCTTAATTTTTTTTTGAACTTTGGTAATACTGCTATTGGTTTATTAGATTCTAAATTTGATATAGTACAATTTGAGGTATATTTACAGAATCATTACTAGTACTATATTAGCTATTCTAATCTTATTTTTACTAACTTTATTTAGTTATCTATATGGCATCTAAATTCATGTTTATTGCATATTTACATGCAGTTATCTTGACAATCACTTGCAGTCAGAGCATACTATTAAGAGTAGATAGTAGTATTTTATTTTTTTTGTTTTTGCTAAGGTCATTAATTATTAGTAACTATTGCTTTTATTGTGTTTTAATTATAATTATATAACTTGTATAAAGTAAGTATGCAACTAATCACATATACAGTTTTTAGTTATCTATTTAAGTAGTCTGGTTACAGGTTCTATACTAGCTGTCATACTTGTAATTTGCTAAGAAATTAATTAAACATTCTAATTCTTATATTATATCTAACAAATAATGTATAAGTTCTTATATATCTAAGTGTTATTTAATCTAATTATAGTTTTTTTTCTGTATATATGTTAAGTTATTACATATTTCAAAATAAATTATCTGACTATAGGTTTTAAAAGGCTCTTCTATTAATTAATCTATTTATTTTATAAGACATTAATAGAGTTTATTCTTGTAAAGTTCATTTAAACCCTAGTATTAATTTCATAGCATATTCTTAATATTTATAATATATTTTTACTTTGTCATTAAACTCCTAATTTAGATAGTTTGATAAAATTGTAACCTGTTTCTAGTATATTAAGTTTCTAATATTTAATATTTTTTTCTTCTAGTTTAAGACTTTTGACAGTCTGATTGATAATATTTTTTATTTAAAGTTTTTGTTTATCTAATTCTTCTATATTAATATTTATTTTCTAAATTTAGTTTTTATAATAGTATTGTTAAAGATTCATATTAACTCTTTATTTAAATCTTTTCAAGTAAGTTTCTGTTTTCTTCAATTTAACAAATTTATACAGTTATAAAGACTTACTTGAATTTGTACTATCTGATACTAGTTTGCATTCTTTTATATAACTAATATTATACAGATGTCTTTTAATCTGTCAGTTAACTGATATAATTGTAGTTATAGATATTTTATCTTAACTAATTAACAAAATACTATTGCTATAATACAGATATATTTTTCTAAATTTTATCTCCAGTAGGTTTTAAACTTACAACTTATAATTTAAAAGATTGACAACTTATCTAGTTTGCTAAGTCATCATATTCCTAAGAATAGTATTTTAAAATTATATATAAATTTAAAAATAATTTTTTATATTTAATTTATTAAAAATTGTATTAAGTAAATTAATTTTAATTATTAAACAAAGGTAATAAAATAAGTTTTTCTAATTCTAATAATAATAAAATTATTAAAATTAGTTAAAAACTTATTAAGATATAAAAATTTTAAAAATTAGAATATAAAATTATATAATAAAATTAACTTATAACTTTATATAAATTAACTAATTAAAGAGAATAACAATTTTAATATAATAGTTAGGTTGTTATTTTTTAAGTAACAAATCTAATATTTAAATTTTACTTATAACAAAATTTAAAAATTAATTTATATTACAGTAACTGTCTTCTGTTGATTAGTTGAATTTATAAATCTGTAACTTTAGATATACCAAGCTAGGTTCTACCTGTTAATAAAAGCTTGAAACATCTATATAAAGTGTAATATTATACATATATATATAAAAATAAGTATAGAAAACTAAAAAACTAAGAAACTAAAATCTATTTAGTAATTTCTAAATAAAGAAGCAATATTAACTTTTAATGAACTACAGCTGACTCTGACTATACTGAACCTGTTTATACCAAACTCTGAATATAATGAACAAGATTTAACAGAATTAAAATTTAATAATTATTTATGCTGATTATATCAAACCCAAATAGCAAAATTTTCTATACTATATTTGAACATCTTTTTACCAGCCTATAACTATGTATATATATTTCTATATAACAAACTATTATGTGATATGATTTACTGACCAATCAAATTTCAAGATTACAATAACTCAAAACTTTAAAAAATCATCTGCAACCTAATTAAAAACATTTATTATAAAATTTTACTAAAAGACACTAAGTTTATATTTTAATCTTTATAAAAAAAATAGCATTTATCAATGTATCATCCAAAATAATTTTAAAGGTGTTGTGCTCAAAATTAATACTTACCCAACTTTAGATATTAGAAATTATATTTCTCTAAAATTACTACTTAATGCTGCATGAAATCTAATTTTAAGCCTAATTTTAGTTAAGTGCAACTTCAGATGTCTGAAGTTGTAATTTTGCTCTATCAAAAATAGTACACAAATTTATAATCAAACACAGATACATGATGGCATGAGAGTATACAGAACTATACAGAATATAATACAGAACAGTGCATAGAAAAACATGCTTTGGGCATATAAAAAATGCATATAAGAAAATTTTGTGCAATTACATGTTAGTTGATTTTGCTCACATGTGATTTTGTGTCTTAAACATGCTATATTTCGTGCTTTTATGTGCACTCACATGTAAAAATTTCTAATAGAATCAGGCGGATATCTATGAGACAATATTTAATTTATGTTAAAATTATTTGGTGTTACAAAAAATTTCATAACACAGATAAACATTATACCTTTTTTCTAGATAACTCTATAATAATTTATTTTATAGTTTGCACAATAGTTAATTAGAGCTTAATATAAAGTATATAAGTAGAGTTATAGAATATATATATAGATCTTTAGTTAGTTAGTCTTTTAATTAGTTAATTGGATATCTCTCTTTAGTTAGTTCTTTAGTAGGTTAATTATTTTGTTAGCACCTTGAAGAAATAATAGTATACTAGGTACACTTTGGAAGATACTTACTTGTATCACTTATATTTTTAGTATTAGTACATTGAATAAGTTATCAGTTCTATATATTTTTATGCTTATGATGCTAGTTAAACTGGCTAGGATAATAAGTTGCTTTCCTGAACTATAACATTGGTCACTCAAGAAATTTAATACAACATATCAAACTTAATATCATTTATATTGGGATTTCAAAGTCAATGAATTTCTAAATATGTTGGGGCTTAAAAAATTAGAATTAATTTCAAATATTCAATAATAAAATTAAAATAGAAGTGTTTGGAGGCTTTTCTTTCAGGAAATTTAAATGCTTATATATACACAACAGCGGTTTTGGTAGATTTCACCGACACCTAATTCGCCGACACCTATTTTACTGACGGTTATTTCACCGACAGCCCACTTCTCTGACAACACATTTTGCTGACAGTCCATTTCCTCGACAGCCACATCACCGACTTCACTTCCCCGACAGCCCATTTTCCCGACAGTTCATTTCACCGACAATTCTATTTTACGGACTTTCTATTTCTCTAGCCATTACTAACTATAAAGCGGGCCAACCCTAACCCAAAATCGGGCCAGAATTGTCGGAGAAATAGATTGTCGGGGAAGTGAAGTCTGGGAAGTAGGCTGTCGGGGAATGGACTTTCGGTAAAATGCGTTGTCAGAGAAGTGAGCTGTCGGTGAAATGGCCGTCGATGAAATAGGTGTCGGTGAATTAAGAGTCGGCGAAATGAATATATACCCTGTGAAATGAACGTGAACGCCTCATAAAAAATTGGTCACCCCCTGTAATTTAGAGCAATCGAATTTTAAGATCAGGTGTAATCTTCTGCGGCCTAACCAAAAATGTTTCTCGTGAAATTCTACTAATATCCGTCAAGTGGCAGACGCTACATGGGAAGTGGTCAATTTTTCACTAGATATCCCAAAATTATGAAAACAGCTGTAATATATAATTGAGCGCGGCTCGCTATTGCAGGCTTTTTTTTCCTGGGCTGGGCTTGGGCCCAAAATATTTTCCGGGCCTGGGTTTGGGCCCAGCAAAGCCCGGCCCATTCTACATCCCTATCCATTTTTCCTAAAATCACATACCAATGAAGTCATTCACTAAGTAAAAGTGCCCAGCTGACATTTTGTTATGGCGATAGATATAGTCAGCTAGTATTAGTTCCGATCAATTTTTGACCCAAAATTTTAGGGACTGCCTTGTAAAAAACGTGCAGCCGATCGCATCATTTATGATTAAATAAATTTTAATCAGAATGTTGATGTCACATAATTTTTGAACACCAAATGGGAAAACGTAGAGGGAAAGATTTTGCTCAACGGTCTTATGGCAAAATTAAAAATTCAAATGACCCAAACAGAGGATATGCAACCCTTTATGATGAATATATAAGGTATTTTCTTTTAACTGTTAACGAGTAATAAATGTACAATATTCAAAATTTAAATTTTTTAAATTGAAAAAAATATTTTTAATTCATCAAAAACGCATTTTAAATTTAAATCACAATTGATTAACAAAAGATCTAATTGCATGATCATTTTATATGAACAGCGAGGAACAATTTAATTATGAGCATAACTTGACTAATAATGAAATTGGCGAAGGTTGAAATTTTTCGACTTAGAATTTGACATCAAACAACATATTACTAGTTTAAAACATTAATTATTTATCTATAATATCTATGAATATAGATAATAATATTCCAATGACTCTTGGAATGTGGGCAAGTCATCCAATCATACTTTTTTATACGAAAAAATACCACACACAATTATTCAATATTTCGCGTTATTAATTCCTTAATTAATTAGGACTTTGAACATTGTGATCCAAAAAAATGTTCCGGTAAGAAACTTGCAAGATTAGGTATTGTGAAACTTTTAAAAGTTTCACATAAATTCCATGGAATAGTTTTAAGGTGAATATGAATTTAAAACTTCGTCTGTGGTTATTTACATTAAAATTCTTAACGTTTAATCTAACATTTATAGTCCACAAGGGCAACAAGCTATTTCACCTGCAGATCGAATAATCATACAAGACCATGGATTGGCTGTTATTGATTGTTCTTGGGCAAGATTAGAAGACGTACCATTTGCAAAATTAAGAACGTTTAATGACAGGTTATGTAAGTGGAATGTGGTATAGTTGGCATTATTTGGGGGAATTTAATAGGAGAGGGACAAATTTTTCTACATAAGATTTTTTAAATTTTAATTCTATAGAATTATAGAATTAAAATAAAAAAAGATTTTTATTAGATTGGTTTGGTAGTTGTTGGGTATTCAACTTTTTTTTTTTTTTAAAAAAAAAAAAATCGATATTTCCCTTTTCTACTGATATAATACCAACTTGTTATGGCTGATACTGAAATTTCTAACAAATTATTTGAGTCTGTCGGCCAGAATGATTTAATTCCTTACTATATAGCATATGTGTAATTTTTTAAAATTGTGACGAGTCCTGTAAATATATGGTACGCATGTACGCACAAAATTAACTAGGATTGGGTTTATACTTTATTTGCGCGAAATAATGGCCATGGGCGTTTATTTCGAGGACGTAATTTAATACTAATAATTAATTTCGTCGAAGGTCTTTTAAATAAAATGATTTGCATTCGGTTAAATTAATTATTACCTTCTTTAAGTAGTATTTCTTAAAATAACACCCATGGGAGTTATTTCGCGCAAATAAGGTACAGTTGTGTATTACATGCCTTAGTATAGTGGTTGTGAAATTTCAGCATCAGCATATTCTATGAATATTTATGAATCGGAACTATGGACAAATCTCATGTAATTAATTGTGTTTATATATAGTACCGTATTTAGTTGCAGTGAACCCCATAAATTATGGCCGTCCATGGAAATTGAGTTGTGTTGAAGCTTTTGCTGCATGTTTTTATATTGCAGGTAAAGATTTTATGAGATTTCTTTTGTTATACTATCTGATTCTAACATTTAATTTTTTTGCGCTAAAGGTTTTCCAGAATATGCAGAACAGCTTTTGTCTAAATTTAAATGGGGTCGCGAGTTCTTCTCCGTTAACGGGTAAAATGCAAACAAGATATTTAACAATTTGCAGTTTTTAATAATATCGATTTTATCTTATATTTGTCCTCCTTCCATATTTACCTTGTTGGAGGACTTTTACGCTTGAACATTAAATATAGCGATTTACTTAATAAATATGCTGCGTGTAAAGATTCTGGTGAGGTCGTAAAAGTTCAGAATGAATGGATAAAAGATATCGAGGAAGAATATGCCAAAGCACGTGAAAGTGGTGAGATACTTTCTCCAGGCAATATAGTGTATGATTATTTGAGTTCATTCAACTAAGTTGTTTTCTCTAGATAATGTTGATTTGTTAGTAAGAAATCCGAACCATAGGTTTTTAGATGATAACGATTCGGATTCGGATTCGGATAATAGTTCAGTAAAGAATTTGGACCAGCCAATAATAGATGATGATCTAAGTGAAAACTCTGAACTGAATATTACAAAAGAATAGAAACTACATCCGATTTTGATAGTTACATCATTGTACTTTTATTGAAATGAGATAGTATGTTACTTGTTATGAAATTAATAAACGTCATGGCTGCTTATGTTGCTTTTGCTATGAAACTATTAAACAATGCGGGATGATGTTAAAATTTGTTCTATTTAAAATTTTAAAAGTTTTTTATTTTTATTTTATCTTTCAGTTTAGGTTGGGGTTAATTAGTTTACAAAATAGAGTTAGGTTTATAGAATTTATGTATTCGTATTGCTGCGGAAATAAATTACCAAATTTTATTGAATATAAAATTGTTAGTTTTATCTATTAATGTAAAGTATTATTGATGCAATATAGTTCATACAAGCCGTAACAAATCTTTAATGATAGGCAACTTGCGGATTTTTCAATATCTCGCGCATGATGCGAATTACACGCTTTACCAACGCGTAATGCCCGAAATAGAAATTAGCAATCCACGGGTTTCTCGAATTTCCTTTGCATGTAAGATTTTTTCAAACAGTTTCAGGTTTTACTATTACACTCATTATTAATGTTATTGTCAGGAATAGAGGTTGGATCCTTTGAATATCCATCATGGCTATTCAGTAAGTATTCGCAGGTTTTGGATATTCACGAATAGTATTGGATGGATGCCTATGCTATTATTAGTAATCACAAATATTCACGCGATATTCATATATTAGAATAAAATATAAAATAAAAATAAAATAAATATTAAATAATTACTTTTTGAAAGGTTTTTTCATTTGTTACATCGAATTTATCGTTCAACTTTTTCTCTATATCTTTAGAGCCTGTGATGAAAGTTGCTTAAGTTGAAACAAAATTTTTTCTTGATTTTCAAGGATTTTTGCTAAGGTTCTTTCAGGTATTCGAATACGTATACATGGATCAATTATGTTAATTAACAAATTCTTGAATTTCGTGTAACCAGACATTGGATATTGATACGGGCTAAAAGACTCGGGAACGGCATCACTAGGAAAGAAAGGATGTGACGAATTGTCGCTTCGGAATCGTTGACGTCGCATAACGTCACTCAAAAGCAGGTAAGACAGTTTCAATTTGGCAATGGTCAAAGGTAGTTTTTGAGAACGCTACAAAAGGATTCGGATATAATGTAAACAGGCTAAAGGAATGTATTTTATTTTGGTTTGAACTCAAATTAAAACTTTATTAATTATATTTTTTATTAGGACGATCTATCTATAAGGTACAAGGGTTACAAGATTGAAGGTTTAATCTAAAGATGATTCGATACAAGAAGTAATTTTTCATCCTTTTACAAGAGAGGAATGTGAATCATATTTATAAAGAATTACTAGGGAAAAAGAAGGGAATTTCGAACATGACTTGGGCACCCTTTTTCTCATTGACATAAGCCGTTTTACCCTTATTTGCTAACACTTTTCCCTTTTCCCTACAACCCATCCGTTGTTCCTTTAGAATTTTTCATTGAACCTTTTCGACTACACAAGACCCAACATATGACGACGCATTAGCACGGTCACAGACTTTACCTGTCAAGGTAATATTACCTTGTCGGACGGTGGCTTTTTCTTCAATGGGATCGGCGCTGTCACTAAATGAGAACCTGATTTGTCCTGGGTCACAGCATCGTGGTACGACGGTTTTTCATGATGCGTTTCGTGGGTCGTTACGCAACGTTTCCTCATGGTCTAAGTGTCGGATTTACCCATAACAATATTCAATGAACATCCGGTTCTAACCGTGAATATTCACGGATCGTACCTCTAGTCAGGAATTGCGCTTACTACCACTTGATCTGCTAACGCGGCAGATCAGTATCAGTACAGATTATTGTTTACACAATCTAGAAGAAAATTCACCAAACTCCGATGAGCCGGATATTATTAATTAATTAATCCCTGGCACGTCCGTAATCTGTGACAGGTTAAGCCACCGATTTTCGATCACCACCTTAAGTCATGATGAAAAGCTATTGTATTTAGTAATTTGAAAAGGCTTATCATTACGAAGTTGAATATATAAAAACGATTTGATCGTATTTGATTATTTTTTATTTTTTTCGATTTTATAAATTAATTTTTTTTTATCTAACATGAGTAAAGTGCGCAAATTAAAAGTTTAAATAACCTTATCGACTTCTAATAAGACTTACTGTGTAAAAGAGAACCAATTTTTTAGTAAAATGTAGGTTATACAAATTTCGATATATTTTTTTTTAAAAAAAACATAAAACGGCATTAAGAAAATGGATGAGAACGATATTTCCGTCATCACATCATTTTTAGTTATTAATGTAAACTGCCAAAATATTAGGCCAACGTTATGAACGTGTTAGGTAAATTCAAAGATCAGTGTAATATAACAAAAATAAAATCTCACGAATATTTGTCCTTATGGAAGAAAGAAGAATTCAGCTCGAGTTATCTTTATTCGAAAGAGGTAGAATTAAGTAAAAAAAGTATCTTTTAAGGAAGAATGTGTTGAACAATAGCACGGTTAAAGAAACGACATATTGCTTGCTTTGCTTAAAGTAATTATGATATACTAGTGAATTATTTGTTTAGTAAATATCTAAAGCAACTTTTGAATTTAAGAAATATATTTTTTTTTAATAGATTATGACAGTCAAGTCTTACTCTGGGAATATAATCAGACGGTGATTGAGATTAGTGACTTAACCTGTCACAGATTACGGACGTGCTAATCCCTGCTCTCTTTACGTCATTTATTAAAAAAGTGTAAGTGTCATATCACTGATGAACTTTCGATACAATATTTAATTCAAATCTAAATAAAAACAATCTTTTCTCTTTGCTTTAAAGTGTTTATACTATGAAAATGGAATCTTCATTAACGTTATAAAGCTACGAATTATTGCGTGGCTCACAAGAATTTTTCGAAACAAAATAAAAATTTTGAATGACCTTCCAATGAGAAACTTCGATCATGCATGGAAATTTGATTTCTGCAAATAACAAAAAAGTTAGAACGCATGGGCGAAATATTGTCCTACTTATCCGAATTCTGTTCGTCCTGGACAAGTTAAACACGAGTTTTTGATCATATAAATTTAACTGTGTTAATGAAACACCGTACTCAAAATCAGCAAATGTTCTGTGATGTGTAATTTTTTAATTAAATAAATTTTTTTTTTTGCTATAAATCTGTTGCATTCAGAGAATGTTTTGTAATTTTCTTGATATCAGATGTACCTGTAAAAAAAAAAATAATAAAAAATTGACACAAACACTTTACGGAGCACTCAAACGGGTGTTGTTTATTGCAAGAGCTCACCAAGTTCGGTACGTGAATATGAATTGTATCCTAATTAATGGCCATGTTCAGGCAATATTGTACAAGTTATGACAAATTTAAGGTTTTTAAAAAAAGGTATATCAATAACAGGGTTTTATTGAAGCAACTCTTCTTTAGCTCTTAAAAATGGTTAAAAATAATTTACAATATTTTATTATTGCTTTTTAAAATTAAAAATTGAGAAATTAATATAACGAAGTTAAAACGAGACAAGACCGGAAAAGTCAAAATGTACACTGCGACCTGCACGGGCCGGGTCGCGCCGGGCCAAAATTAAATCCTCAAAATTGCAAGCCTGGTATGTCAAAAACATAGTAAAATGCGTGTCAAACTTTTGAAAAACATAAATTTATTTTGCGGGTCATACAGGTCGGCCCGTATAGATCTCTAGCATAAACACAAAGAACGCTCAACATAAAGGAAAAGGACTTACCCGAATAAGTCATGGCTAGCGTTGCCAACTTAATTAAATTTACAAAAATTGACATTGATACGATTTATTTAAACTATCTGTGAGACAGTTAATTATCTTCGTGTAGTTCAAATAAATTCTTATACATGTTACTTAAATATCGGTAATTAGAGTATCGGTATGGTATGTTTAAATATGCTTGACCTAGATCTAATAACGATAATATAAAGTATATACATAAACAAAAGACTCGTTATCGTTATCTGTACAGAGTTTATGCCATAAAAAGAAAACTTTTTAAAACATACACGTTTTAATGTTAAATTTATTGTCATAAATAAGCATTCTATACGTAATTTAAAAACCTGCTGAAACTAACATTATTACCGTTTTAAAAATGTATAATTTTCCCGATACCGATACGGACATTTATACTATATCTCCTTAAAGCAGAAAAATAATGATTACTATTCGTAATATCATTTAGTCAGTCAGTGTGACAAGTTGACAAATGACTTGTGTACATGCATGTTTTTAAATTTATACACTAAATTGAGTGTATCAGTACAAACATTTTACTCACGATTTTGAATTCAAAAACCAAGGAATGGATTCACATTTCCCTTCTCGACCCGTTGATCGTGAAAAAGCAGAACACGATCTTGTGATCAACATAAAAAAGGCCACAAGCACTGACGAAACCGCTCCAAAACAGAAGCATGTTCGAAGTGAGTGACATAAAAAATTAGCATAGTCTTTTGATTCTTTATTAAATAAGCCGATTTTCAACCTATACCTATAGAGTGCATTGTATATACATGGGATTATCACACTTCGGAGTCGATTTGGACTGGGCTTAAAGTTTTGCCAATTTTAACCGATGAAGTACAAACTTTTAAAGCTTTAATAACCGTGCACAAAATTATTCGAGATGGCCACCCTTCTGTATGCATGATTTTTCACTTACATCATTGATCGTTATTTAAATGAGTGCTGCCAAGTAAAAAACCACTGTCTTTAAATTTTTATCGTTTCAGCCTTAACCTCGCAGGAACTATCTGATTTGTCCAAATATGATAAGATTTTAAATTCAATACTTAAAGGTTTTTACTTAGCAGCACTCAAATTCTAATTAATATTTAACTGACTGACTGATTGGTGATTTATTATTCGCATAATATTTAAGGCCTTGAAAGAAGCACTAAACCAAACTAATTGGCTTGACTCTTGCTTCCGTTCTACCAATGGTGATATTGCGCGAGGTATCAAT